CTCCAAAACCTGTGGAGGACAAGAAAAAGTCCCTCCTCATGGCACCCAAGTCTCCCGAGGACGACGATGCCTGGATCGACCAGCTTGCTCAGATGGACCTCACCAACGACAGACCAAGCCCTCTGTTCGTCATGATCCTACCAGCCAAGGAAGATGGATGCTACTTCGTGGTGGTTTGCCAGCGCTATCTCCCCCTTGCGATGAACGTGCTCAACAACCTGTCGTCCTTTCTCCAGTTTCACCTTGGCGAGTCGTCGTTCCCCAATTTCATCCGAGTTATCAAGAACTGGTCAGCTACCGACCTCGCCTACCAGAATCGCAAGCTTCATGTTGAATGGGTCCCGTCGGAGCTACGCTCCCGCTGTATTGACGATCCCACCGACAATCAAGGTCCTCAAGTCCGTGATCCCATGGACTTCCTTCTCTGCATGGAAGACCCCGTGGAGATTCTCGAGGGCACACCCCACATCGACATCCACCAAACATGTTCGTGACGTAGATGATGGCCTTTCCGTGATCGGTTACCTTGACGATTGGAACGAGAGTCTCCGGAGACAAATCCTTCAAACGTCCATAGGTTAATTCTTCGTTTTGGAAGTACTCATCGTTATTTGAGTTGTTTTGGGCTTCCAAGCATTCCTTCAGTTTTTCCTTACATTCATTCAGTTTCTCCTTACATTCAATCAGTTTCTTCTCACAGTTCTTTAGTTTTTGATTGGACTCCGCTATTTCTACTTGTATATTTGCTATGTCCATTGTATACGTTCCGTAGTTACACTAAAAAATAATAACTCTGGACGATTATTTGCGGCGCAAATCGTCAACGTCCCCTAACCACTCTCAATCCATCGTCTGAACGTCACCCGTCATATTTTCCAAGATCTGACTCGTTCAGGAACACCCGGCAAATGACGAAAATCCGTTGCGCGGGGTCGACTGTGGGAATTCTGATGTCTTTCAATGGGCGATCCCTGCCTTAAATATATTTCAGTTTTTAAACAATATCATTTTCACAGAACAACTTTATTTTTGATCTTTTCTGATCCTAATTCTGTAAGTAACAACAGGTCATTTGATGGTCACAGGGTCATTAAGAAACTTCGAATTCCAAATCATATCAATAGACGGAATCCTGAAGTTGGGAGTTATAACTCATTGCGAGGGAATCCTTGAGTTATATTCGAGTTATAACTCAAACGTGTGAGTTATAACTCAAGCGTGTGAGTTATAACTCAAACGTGTGAGTTTTTACTCAAACGTGTGAGTTTTTACTCAAACGTGTGAGATTTTGCTCAAACGTGTGAGATTTTACTCACCGAGCCCAGCTTCCCCCCCTTTTCCAAAACCGTTGCTGGAAATTAGAGCTGGCGGACCAACGACTACTTTCACCAAAAGATACAGTCCTGTACTTTTCCAGATCCAAACCCTATAAAAGAACTTGTCACGCAACATCATTGGGACAAAAACGAGTTCTACGGCGAGGCAGGAGGTGAAAGGAGAGAGGCTTTCAGCCGCTTCCTCACCAACAAGGTCAGAAGAAAGGGTTTTGGTTGGAAAGAATACGTTGATTTGCTGGATGAACGGGAAGTTGACATGTCAGCAAACACGGAGACGCAGCTGGCAACGGAACTTCAAGCCAAGGGAGGGCCAAACGATGCCGTGGTGAACGACACTCGTGCTGTTGCGTTTGCTGTGCTTGATTCTGCTAATTGAAAAAAAAATACACTCAACCTGTTATTTCTACGAAAAATTCTGACATCGCCATGGACGACCTTGCGCAACGCTCACGACAAGGCAAGAGACAAATCGTTACAGGAAGATTTGATTTTGGCTGATGACCTGGCCAAGCACCCAACAACCACCCATAACGCACGTGGCGAGCTCAAGTTTTATTTGACGAGGGCAAAACAGAAAAAATTCATGTTGGCCTCACAGCATCGGAGTTTCAAGAAACTAGGGTTGAATACCACCCATTCAAAAAACGAAAATTCAGAGAGCGGATTCAACAAGAAATTAGATTTCAAAAGTACCGCAACTATCTGGAGGATAAAAGAATGAACAAGCTGGTGAAGTTGAAGAAGGAAGAAAAGAAAGAGAAAAAGAAAGAAAACTTGTTGCTCTATGAACAACGTATGAAAGTAGCAATGGCCGAAAAGGAGGAGGAAACAAAGAAGCAGGAGGAAGAATCGCCGATGTCTGAGGACTCGCAAGTAGTAATAAAATTGTATTAGGTATGTGGTAAATTATCCTAGGGAGGGTGACCGTTATTCATTTGGAATTGGACTGTTCCAACAATTGCAAGGACATATTGTCTCTCGAATATTTGAACGTGTCGTCCAAAATAATAAAAAGCACTTCAATCGACGATTAAAAGTTTCATGGGGAAGCCGAGCACGTTACTTATAATACTCGTGGTTTTCTTTGGAGTCTGTGTTGCATCTCGCTTGAAGCTGCCCTTCCCCCATTGGAGAACATCACCCCCCTTACATTTTCTGAGTACGTTTGAGTTATAACTCACACGTTTGAGTTATAACTCACACGTTTGAGTTATAACTCACACGTACTCACACGTTTGAGTTATAACTCAACGCCGTGAGTTATAACTCAGGATTCCGTTGTGATCTG